GCCCGCGGTCGCGCAAGGCTCCCCCATTCAGCAGCACGGTGCACAACCCCCTGAGCTGGGGCGGCACGTGTCAGGCTGGGGCCGCGGCTCCCCCATGCCCGCCATGCCCGCCCCCCATGCATGCCTGACGTGACGTGGGACGTGGGCAGACCGACCGCCGCGACCACCGCGCGCCGCTCTGAGAATATCTCTCCATCATGAGGGGCTTCGCGACGCTTCGCGAGGGGGATGGGGATGGGGTTGTGGGCTCGTGGCTCGTGCATAAACGGGGCGGAAAAGTGAGCGGGAAATGACATGCGGTGGAGCGCGGCCGGCATGTGCGATGTGCTAACCCATGCCGTGGTGCACGGAGGCGGAACAAAAAAACAAGTCGGGTCCGAGGGGGAAATCACTAGGGTTCGTAGCGTACGGACTATTTCGTTGAATTTCTCCTACAATTTCGGTTATTTCTCCTGCCATTTCGGCCATTTCCCGCCTATTTCGGGTTATTTTAGGCTATTTCACGCAATTTCTGAGCATTTCAGGGGTATTTCGCGACTATTTCACAGAATATTTCGCGTCTACTTCGTGTTTATTTCGCTCTATTTCGCCTCTATTTCGCCTTTATTTCGCACTATTTTGGGGGGAGGTGTACGAACTATTTCGCAAGTGATTTCCCCCTCGGTCGGGTCAGTTTCACGATTAAAAAAAAAATACGGCGACGACGTTACGTATTTTTATGGCGATGTCTTCCGAGGAAACGGCAAGGGACAAATTTTGTCCATTGCAAGATGCGTGCCTGTGTGGTCACAAATTGGTATCTCCTAATGTGTTTTGTCCAACTATGAATATACAAATTTGTCACTACTCAGGATTCCAAATTATCTTTGCCAGATGTACACACAAACGCATATTACAAAGAATAAAAATTATCCCTAGTCATTTACAGTGTAGAGGAGCTATAGTCACCCTGCCGTCGGTCTGAACAACGACCTTTTCACCATAGCTGGTTCAACCGCCGGCAAATAACGTCCACCGACTGAGGGCTGAAGGGCGTCAGGCGAAGGGCGAAGCAGCGGGTTTTAGTCGATGCTAATCGTTGTGTTTTCGACAACAGCGGCGCAGATATCCGGACGGGCAATTACCACAGGAAGTCTCGTTACAGGCACTGTTAAAAATAAAATCAGAGCACTGAGAGAAATGGTTGTAGGATTTACGGGGAAATTTTCCATGAAGCGTGTCGTAACGTCACAACTCGAAATTGTAAAATAACAAGCGCAGCGTTTAGACTTGGAATTCATCGACTAGCAAGATTAATGTGCCATAAATTTACAACAAATTTGGATATATTAATTTCAAAATATATCGTAAGTTCAAAACGTCATTTTTCACAGTGAGGGTGTAGGGAGGGCGGTATGGTGTTGGTTAAGGTGAAGGTTGGAGGGGGGAGAAATGGAGGGGATGCAGTGAACGGAAGGCGAAATCACGGCAGGGAGCGACGCAAAGCAGGAAGGCCTTGGCCGGGCCATCGATTGCTTCCGCCCCCCTCGGCCCGCGGAGCTCCGCTAGCGCCCCCACCACCCCTACGCCGCGCCCTCCGCGCCCGATCCCAGAGACATATGCGCGACAGGGGCGGAACCAGCATCGGGAGGGAGTCCTCATTATGGGAGCGAGCGGGGAGCTCTGGCCACAGAGGAGGGCGGCACGAGAAGGGGAGCGCACACCGCGCTGGACTTCTACAAGTCTGCTGGATGTGTTCCCCTCCTCGAGCTCATATTGGGACGGGCAGGGCAGACGTTATTCCTCCCATTAGCACATCCAGTGCGGCGTGGCCACCATGTGGTCACGCTTTGCTGCGGCTTCCAGCCCTGAACGTTGATGTCCCGCGTGTGGGAAATCAGGTCGCTCTCAGCATTTTCGTGCGGCGGGCCCGGCGGAGGGGATGTTCCCTGGCGGTGCCATAGGCCGGTGCGGTCGCGGTCCCCAACAGGTCCATTGTCTCACCGCAGCGGCAGGGCCAGCAGGGGTGCAAACTGTTGCACGCACCCTCTCCGCCCCCGCCGGGGACCCGGAGCTCGGCCCCCAGCCGCCCCCCGACACTGCACTGCAGCGCGGAGGCTGCTGCCAACCAGGCCAGCCGCAATAATGGCGGTGCAGCAGGACCCGGTAACATTAGGGGAGCCAGCGTGACCATGAACCCGCGAGTGGGCGGCCGGGGGGGGGGGGTGGTTCCAGGGTTGCAGTGCCCCGCCCCGCCACAACGCCGTGACAAACAGTTATGGCGACGTCCGCCTCCAGACCCCCGGCAGAAGCGGGGCCGGCCCCCGCCCCCGGAATGGGCTCCCATGGGGCTGAATGGAGCAGTGCAGTGGGTGCATGGAGGCCATCCGACCCAACATCGCCCAGCGACACTGCATAGGGCTGCCGCCGGGGAGGCCGCGGGCGGCCGCCGTGGCCTCCAAATCCCAGACCCATCTATTCTACAAGCTGTACACTCGGCAACATTTGATATTGCCTCGGCAAGGCGCGTGGTAAGGGGCGGTCGACAGAGGGGGCTGCCTAGATTAAGTTGCCTGCACACGGGAGTTTTTGTAGATCAAATTGCATACTTTTCAGGTGGCTATCTAGGGCGGGCAAGGGGGCAATTGCCCCCCCCCCCCCTTGTAATACGCTCCTGTGCCTCGGTGTCGTGTGAGAACAGCTCTTAAAATCACTAACAATGGATGTACTGGCTAACGGAGGAAGAAGAAAAGCGGGTAGAACATGAACGTTCCCGATTGGCCGCCCCTACGTTACGCCGGTGGAGGGTAAGGGTTCCGACCAATCGGAAATCTTTAAGTTCTACCCGCTCTTCTTCCCCCGTTAGCCGAAATACGCTATAGTGAACACATGAGTTTTGATTCCAAATATCTCATTGAAAAAGACTGAGTTAAAAATCTCATGTTCAATGAATGAGAAATGTCATTCCCTATTCCTCTTATTCCGTTTCACTATGGTGTCTCTGACTAACTTTCTGAGGCCCATAAATCATGATTGTCTAGAGCATTCTCAGCTTTCTCACTCGTACTAATGTTGTTAACTCATGCTTTTCGTGTACAGCAGAACATAGAGAAACCTTCACTGCAAAGTAGGGTTATGAAACCCTCGGCGGCTACTAACCTTCTTGCCGGTGCCAGTGCAAATATACTCACAAAACTGACACAAAGAAGTTCGTCATTCCAATTGTTTTCAGCGAAATTTCACGGCACACATGCATTCACAAAGCACTTTGAGAGAAAACTGAAAACGCGATTTAAAACATTTTCCTACTAGGCTATGTTGCCTTGTTTTGTTCCCCTCTACACTCCGTCGCCACTACGTATCTGGTCAATTTGTCAATACATACGCTCCGACACCAACATCACCATTCACCAGTCACATTTTAGTAGTTCACTTACCTTTTTGGAGACGTAACACTAACATTGTTGACAACGTTGGTCGGAGGCCGAAGAACCAGCTCGCTCAGTAGCAGGACAACTGGCCCCGTAGTCGAAGCCTCGCTCGTAGTTGCACGCGGGAAGAGAAGCGGCCCACGACCTTAGTAGCTGGTCAGACTCTAGTTATACATTTTTCTGAGCAGGTGACACTCTTGAAGTTTAATTCAAACCCGTCATTTCAACCGATGAGCACCTTCGTGGGTGACCAACCCCTGCTCGGCTCGCTGAGACGGCAGGCTGCGACCTGCGACGTGTCACGACGGAGTTTGCCTGCCGAGTGAGAATCAAGACGATCAAGACTGAGCGACTACTTAGTTGCTTAATACCCATGATATTGGCTCTCAAATTATAGAAAAAATAAAGTATCCCAGCCCCATCGTCCTCCTGAGCCGTAATGTTTAATAAAGTTAAAAACAGACGTGTAAAAATACCGATGTACAAATTTTATTTTCACCTTCAAACGAACCATCCTAAACGAAAACCATAAAGAAAGCGCCAGGTAGAATAAAATTTCTCTCATGACTACTTGTCAGTGTCAGGGCTGTCAGCTCCTGGCCGGCGCTAAATCTGCTCCAATCCCCCCCCCCCACCCCCCTCGGTGACCTAGCTTGCGGTCGGGTCCGGCACGGCTAGCGTGACGGTGAGCATGAATGGGTCGGGGATGGTGTAGGAGCCGCACTCGCCACCACAGCAGAGCCAAGCTTCCGAATGAACCGACGAGCCAAGCCGCAGGAGCGGGGAGGGGCGTGTGCCGTGGGCGTCCCCCCCGTCCTGGTGGAGCGCGGCCCCGGCCGTCCCTCTCCTCCGTGCCACCCCGTTTCATTCACAAAGTCCCGGCCGGCCCGCAAGTCCACGTGTCTAGGCTGCAGTAGGGGGCGTCCGAATCGCGCCCTTCCTTCCTCCCTCCGGACGCAGCCCTCGTCGCATGAATGGGGAGGAAATCCGCGACCGGGGATGCGGAGGTCTGGGGGAGGGAGCGCCTGGCTGGCCTGGCGGAGGCCGCAGGGCCGCAGGCCACAGGGCAGCGTAGCACTCTACTCCAGCCTCGAGCCCCGGCCCCTAGCCATGCATAACGCACACGCGCCTCACCTTTCACCTTTCAGCCGCTCTCTCTCTCTCACCCCTCTCTCTCTCTCTCTCTCTCTCTCTCTCTCTCTCTTTTCCTCTATCGCTCCCATTCATGGCGGGCGGCATCGCCGGCGGGGAACGCTTTCTTACCCTCTGCTCCACCGCCCCGTCGCTCCCACCTTGATCGCTCTGTCTCCCACGCCGTCGTCCTCCTCCTGTTTTCCTTCCCTCGTTCAGCTTCCTGCTGCCCGCTTCATCCACCCCGAGAGGCAAAATAGGTTGGTAAATGTTTATCGGAGTGATGAAAATAATAATAAAAAGAGAAAAAAAGACGCACGCCCCGTATGCTGCTGCTGCTGCTTGCAGGAGTGCCAGTACGGCTCTCGGTTGTACCCGCGTACCCTCTGGGTAACCCGGGTACCCACCCGCCAGGATCTTACCGGGTAACAGTAACATCGCACCCAGAAAACCGTACCTTTGATTTCACGGAAATTCCGTTGAATGGGGACGAAGGGAATTTTAACTATGAATTAAGGGAATTTGTGGATTTGAAATGCGGAATTTCGACATAAATCAAAGAAAAGTTTACGTCGATTGATAGCAAATTCCGTTACTTTATAGTCGAAATTCCCTTCGTCCCCATTCAACAGAAGTTCCAGTTCCGTGAAATCAAAGGTGCGTTTTTCTGGGTGCGGGTAGACAGGGGGTCCACTCCCCTCAGATGGGCGTCGGAGCGCGCCACCTTGCGTGAGAGGAGACCTGCTTCTCCTTCCCTCTGCGGACCTAAGTCTGCCAGTTGGGGCTCTCAAAACCCGGACCCGCGGGTACACGGGTAGACCCAGCGGAGCCGCGCCTGCAGGTAGGCAATTCTACATACCGGGTCTATCCGGGTACCCGAGTTACCCGCTGTTGCCGGGTAAGACCCGTTTACCCGGTCCTGACCCGGATGCCCGCGGGTCCGGGTTTCGAGAGCCCTAAGTGACATACTTGAGGCTGTGTAGAGGGTAGGGGGGGAGGGGGGGCGAAGGGCGTCGCTTCCTCTCACGCACGGTGGCGCGCTCTGTCGCCCATCTGAGGGAAGCGGACCCCGCAGCCAGCGCGCCTTCCCGGTATTGATTTGCTACCCCCCCCCCTCCTTTTTCACCACCCGCGGAGGAAGAGGGGTAGCCTCGCTTCGGCCCCTCGCCAAGTGTCTGTGGGATGACGGTGCGATTTTGGGGCCAGCATCTAGCCTCATCAGCCTCGGCCGGCAACGCCTGGCGGCGAGGCTATGGTGGGTGGCGGCAGGTGGAGGGTGATCCAGCAGTTTCCGAGGGCTGAAGCCTGGCTGAACCCTCTCGCTCGGGGTTGGTGGGCGGGCCCCGGGCCCGTAGCCTCTAGCCTCGCACGTGCCGCCTGTGGAGCGGGGCGCCGCGGGGCTGCCCGCGCCGGTCCACTTGAGGGCGCCGGAGGGCGGGGCGGGGCGCGCCAGCAGCCTTGCGCATGCACGGCTCAAGCGTGAAGCGTGTGCCCAACCCGGCCCAGCCCGCAGCAGCGCGCGGCGCGCCACTTTGCGCTTCGGCCCAAGGACATCCAGGCTCGTCCTAGCGTTCATTAGTGAAATGAGAGAGTGCGCTTGGGAAACGTGTTAATCTCATGTCCCCGGGGCGAAATAAATTTGTCCTCCTGGTTGATGAGGAAGTCGGATGATATCTGACTGCACCACCCTCTCCTCTCACACATCCCTCTCAACGATCCGCAAGACTATTCGCCGCCCTCGCCGCGGGGCGGCGGTGCGTACCAGTGGCTGGTGGTGGAAGGGCAGGAAAAGCCAACTGTCGCGTCGATCGTGCCCTGATATGTCACTCTTCGACGCTGTGGCGGAGCTGACGGCTGTGACGGCTTTCGGAGCGGGTAAACGGGAGACAAGAGGAGGACGAAGAGAACATTTGCATGATCGACTGCCACCGTTCGTTGGCTCCGAGCTCGCTTCGCTATATTCAGGGACGTGATAGTCGGATACAGCGGGGTACGCCAAAACAACCGAGCCGTCGAGGTCAAGACAAAATTACCGAGTAACGCCACTTTGACAACGAACCCCAGCCAACGCCACGCTCATCTACCAAACCAAGCAATCAACCAACGCCAACCCCTTTCCACTTTGGCGTTTCTGAGTCGCCCTGTGTTGCGCGTTGCACGCACATAGTTTGGGAAGAGAGAATGAGCACAATATTCCAGTCCAGTAGCTGAGGCCGGACAGCCCAACCTGTTGGCGGTGGTTCGGAGGGACCTGTTGTTGGTCGCACTGGTGCGCCACCAGAACTAGGAGTGTTGGTCTGCCGGCTTCGTCTATCGTCCCTAAGCAAGCATGGCGACGGGGCTAGGAGAGCTTCGAGCTCCGTCGGCTGTGCTGTACGGCAAACGGGGAAACTTTCGCCTTCAGGTGAAGACAGCCACAAGGGACGATCTAATGGGGAGGGGGCTCGGGAGGGGGCTCCCCACTGAGAAACCAAAATCGACGCGATATCGAGTCGACAGTGAAACGATATCACATACCAGAATATCACATCCTGAAACCAGAACCATGTTAGGCTCAACTCCACATGGAACCGGACAAACTTCTGGCACCGATATCGCGGTCTAATATCGGTTTGATGTCACCATTTCTCACGGGGTAGCGTCTTCGATCCTTCGTGACGGGAAGGACGAATCTACGTTACATCGATATCGTTCGCTTCTTTTCAAATGTTCACCACCAGGCATGCCGTGTGGGACACCAGCTTACCGGTCCACGCTCCGATCCTTTCTATGGAAAATATCACCTTTCCATAGGTTTCCTATCCAGACAGCGGATAATGGCCCGAGGGAGGGGGGGAGG